GAGCCCTGGAGAGGAAGAGGCGGCGCACGGAGGGTGCCTGGTGGGCCCGGGGCCTGGCTTCCTGGGGAAGGGTGCGCTCTGCACGCAGCTTTCCCGTGTGCTCTCCTCCTCTTCCACCTTTCTCCCCTTTATGAGGGCCGTGCTCTTCGTGTGGTGGAGGGAGAGCTGATTGCTGGCGGCTTTTAAGCTGCAGACTGTTTCATTTCTATGGCTGAGGCCAGACTCCCTCTCCTCCTAGGAGTGGAGAAGCAGCGTGCAGAGCCATATGTCTAATGCAGTCTCCACACTCGTCTCTATATGTTCTTCTCTGCTTACTCTAGCAGACAGAGGAAGGAGAGGAGGCTCTTCGTGTGGTGGAGGGAGAGCTGATTGCTGGCGGCTTTTAAGCTGCAGACTGTTTCATTTCTATGGCTGAGGCCAGACTCCCTCTCCTCCTAGGAGTGGAGAAGCAGCGTGCAGAGCCATATGTCTAATGCAGTCTCCACACTCGTCTCTATATGTTCTTCTCTGCTTACTCTAGCAGACAGAGGAAGGAGAGGAGGACTAACTATCCCTCTTATTAATGTCAGTACAATAAAGGTTTTTCTGGGGGTGGTGAGCTGGTGTCTAATTTACACGGTTCTGTCATTCTAGAAGTGACAAACTATCTCAAATGTATGTAAGGGTTATGTTCTCTGAAGTGTGATTATGAATGGAAAAATCTCTTCTATGACTCTTTAGAGCTTGTCATCCATAGATGTAGGTGAAAGTATTAATAGAGTAACTTGTGTTCAGGTTGCATCTGCAGTAAGGGAATGTTATTTGGTCTAGAAACCCGGTGGCTGCGCTTAGACCGGCAAGATTATCCGGAAAAACTTGCCAGCTGTCTACACTGGCGGCTTGAATTTCCGCAAGAGCACTGACGATCTCATGTAAGATTGTCAGTGTTCTTGCGGAAATACTATGCTGCTCCCATTCGGTCAAAAGCCCTCTTGTGCAAATGCTTTTGCGCAAGAGAGCCAATGTAGACAACGCAGTATTGTTTTGCTCAAAAAAGCCCCTATCATGAAAATGGCGATCGGGGCTTTCTTGCACAAAACTGCGTATAGATAGGCACGGAGGCTTTTCCGAAAAAAGTGCTTTTGCAGAAAAGCGTCCATGCCAATCTAGATGCTCTTTTTTAATGGAAAAACTTTTCCGTTAAAAGCATTTGCGGAAAATCATGCCAGTCTAGACGTAGTCGGTGCGTGTTAAGGTTTCTCTCTATAGACAAAAGCGACGAGGAGTCCTGTGGCACCTTATAGACTAACTGAAGTGTAGGAGCATAAGCTTTCGTGGGCAAAGACCCACTTCGTCAGATGCATCTGACGAAGTGGGTCTTTGCCCACGAAAGCTTATGCTCCTACACTTCAGTTAGTCTATAAGGTGCCACAGGACTCCTCGTCGCTTTTGCAGATTCAGACTAACACGGCTACCCCTCTGATACTCTCTATAGACAAGTAATTCTGGAGTATGGTTGGGTATGAAATTAAAGCTCAGTTGCTCGCCTGCAGTAGCTACCCATGTGTACATTTACTCCAGAAAGAGTGCCCCCACAGAGCTATTCTAGAGTAGTTTATTCAGCAGTGGCTTATTTTGCTCAATTTCTTCATGTTGAGAAACAAAGGATTAGTGACTGTTCTCTGTACTGATCAGCAAAACCTTGCCCCATGTCTGTTGAAAATCTTGCCCTTTCTATCTTCCTTGACTAGAATGGGGAGGGTTCTGTGTGCTCCTGAAAAGTACACTGCAGATCATGCAGCATCCGAGGTTGTCTAGTGTACTTACAACAGTTATTAGCAAAAACAGATTCAGTCCCATGGTCAGGAAACCCCTGCTGGCAGCAGCTGTGTTTAAATAGTTGTTGCTAGCACTGTTTCTGCTTTTTACTGCTGACCAATCATTTCACTGTTATACACCTTAGTGCGGTGGAAGAACTTACCTGCTGAAAATCTAACTCCTCTGTTGATTTGTTCCCTAACCGGTATCATGTAGCCCTCCTTGCCAGTTTTCATTTCAGAGTTGTTAACTGTGTCCGCCTGGATTTGTTTTCCTTAATGCTGTTTTCCTCCAGAATGTCCCTCTTCCAGTGGAAAGCCCAACCACGCAGATATCCTGCTCGTAAACTTACAGTATGTTTCAGAAGTGGAAATAATTAATGACCGCACGGAAACCCCTCCTCCTTTAGCTTCACTCAATGTTAGCAAGGTAAGGGCCCTTTATCCTTGTCTCTCCTTTTGTGTGCTCATGGATTTATGCTTGATTTAATTGACAGGAAGAGTAAATGCACTGTTGCTTGTATTATGAATCAGTTGCATTTCTTACTGTTTAAATATCCTACTTTGCATGATATTTGGTTAGTTGACATGGCTTTTATCAATTTAAATCAGACTGGTCATGTGCATGGTGCTATTCTGGTTCTTCTTGTGCAGTGAAGCACTTAAACGTGCATTAAAGTTTCTATAAAAGGGCAGCCTGGGCATCTTTATACTTGGCAATTGTCATTAGGCTACAGTAGAAATTGTGGGATGGATGGTCTTCCAAGGTGTTTGGTCCATGGGCAGCTGAGCTCCTTGTTGTGCAGATGAAAATTTGAGAGTCTGGAATCTTGTGACCAGGCTTCATTAGGTGCTTCTGTTTTGCCAAAACATAGTACGGTGCATTCCTGGCTGAATGAAGCTAGAGGAGGAATCTATTGCCATCCAATTCTTCTGTTGGGTGTGGGTTACAAGGCAACTGACAAGACCAACTTTTCATAAGTCTTTTTTTTATCAGGCCTTTCTGGACTGTTGTCTGCCATGACTACCGTATATAGGTTCGTTTTGGGGCTTGTTTACACAGAAAATCCACCATGCTTTTGGATCTGATTTCAACATGGCCTTACCCTTGGAAACTGGCGCTGTGGCTTAATGCTTGTGCTATGCTCTTGGCATTTCAAGTGCTGTGGGTGCAATTTGGGACCACTGCAAGACCCAGCTCTGTCAGGACTTTACTGTGTTGTGGTGGGTCTCAAAGGCTTATAAGATATGTGGACTTATGATCCAAAGACATCTACATTAGGACACCACCGTGGCAGTTCTGTACTAAACCGCTGTAACCCTTTACTGTGTAGACCCTTCCAGCTGTGCCGCTGTAGTGTAGACTCTTCCTATAGCAACAGAAGACGTGTTCTCATTGCTGTAGGAGACTGCCTTCCTGAACAACAGTAGCTATGATGACAACCATCCACTTAGCTGCATCTACACTGCATAGCTGTAGTGTTTGGGTGTGGATTTTTCACACCCTGAGTGCTTTAGCTATGTCAATCTAACTTTCAAGGTGTGGACCAGGCACAATGGCAGCTTTGAGTATTAAACTGTGTGAAGTGGCAGTGACAGAAGGCTTCCTACATTCACTATCTCATTGGCTGTCTGATGCATTACAATTCTGTTCCCACCTCCTCTTCTGCAGCTGCATAGATCCCTCTGCATCCTGCTAAAGCCCTGGTATCTCAGTGATAGGTAACACAGTGCTTTCCTGGCAACACAGCAGGAAGTGAAGAGTAACCTTCCTTTGTGTAACTGCAGTGGAAATTGGGGCAGGTGGATTATGATCACCTGAGCTGGCATTTAGCCAGGACACCAGGGCTAACACAGTCCTTTTTGTATAAAGTGCAACAGTCTCTTCAGATACCACCAGTGGTCAGGCTGGGTAACTTGGCTGAAAAATACCTTGCTGTCTTCTTGCAGTGCTACTGCAGGGTTGTGCATTCATTGCTCACGGAGCATGCCATTAGTCGAGTCCCCTAGCACTGCTATCTGCAGCACCCAGGGTTTCTTTGGGAGGGCTGTATTTGGCTACAGAATCACAGGTCAAAACACCTTGTATTTATATCTGCATCTCTATTAACAAAAATGGTCCATGGATATCTGCATTGACATCCACGGCTATCTGCAAATTTGCAGAGTTCTATGTGCTTGTTTCCCATTTTGGCAATGACACTGATGGATAGACTAGCTAGGTTAACACTTAAGCAGTCTCCCCACATTTGCTTTATTCAGTCTCCAAGCGATTGCCATACATTGGAGGCTTCCTGTTCTGGTGAGTACAGGCAGTCCCCAAGTTACGCGGATCCGACTTATGTCGGATCCGCAGTTACGAACGGGGATTTTCTCGGCCCGGAGGACTGGAGCGGTGGGACTCCTGGTCTGGAAGCTGATCTGGAAGCGCCGCGGGTCCGGCCCGGGTCCTCCGCCGCTTTGCTCCGCGTCTCCCTGGTCTGCTGGGGGGGGGACGCAGCTAGTGCCCCCTCCCCAGCAGACCAGGGAGATGTGGAGCAAAGCCCGGGGCCTGCGGTAGAGCAGGTGGGGCGCTGCTGGTTGGTCCCGCAGCACCGCTCCTTGGCGCTACTGGACCAACCTGGCAGCACCCCAGCTGCTCTGCCCCAGGCGTCCCCAAGTCAGCCGCTGGTGAAACTGACCAGCGCTGACTACAGGAAGCCCGAGGCAGAGTTGCCTGGGGTTCTTAAGTTGAATCTGTATGTAAGTCAGAACTGGAGTCCAGATTCAGCCTGTTGAAACTGATCAGCAGCTGAG